CCATCCTACCTCCAAGGAGACATGCAGATAGGGATTTTGGTGTTTGTGTTGGTCCAAGCATGTGCTCTCACTGGGCAGCCCCGCTGTCTTCCAGCCATGGAGGCTCTCTAAGGGCCTCGACCAAGAGCAGGAGCTGGATGGGGTGAACGCACCTTCCCAGCTCTTGGGCAGGGGTTGGTACTCTGGAGTCTTCTGCTTTGCCTTGGGTTCCTGGGGTCTCCTCAGGTGAAGTGAAGCAATACCCTGCCTAGGGACCTCCTGCAGGAGTTAAAACTTCACTGACAGTCCCAGAGCTACAGGAGCTATCTGAGCTGTGGGCTGTAGGGAAGGCAGGAGCAGGGGATTGTGTCTGTTCACGTGAGGAATAGTCAGAGCTGTAGTCTCTGAGATGAGCACTTGTTCCCCTTGGATAGGTAGAGCAAAAAAAAAACCACAGGAATGGAATGGACCATCTGAGTCATCAAATTAAGCCTCTGCTCTCAGGACCAAAATACTATATACTCTCTTAAATGAACTGGATTTCATATAATCCATTTGATTGCTCATTCTTTTTTTTTTTTTTTTTTTTTTTTTTCCCATTAGAAGACTTTCAAACCTTGTTCCTTTGACATTTGTGTCTCTTACTTGTTTTAGCCTCAGCTCTTTCATGGCCAACAAACTGACTCCAGCCTTAGTCCCTTGAATGAAATCATGTCCTCTTGCGTAGTCCTGCTGCGTCAGACAAGCTGTGCACCACTGGCCATCGCCTGTAATGCAGGCACAATTCCTCTTAGGATCACTGCCAGCACCTGCCCTCTCCACATGCACCCTTTGACTACATTTCTTGTGAATGCACCGCAGCAGTACTCCCCATCCTGTAGGTAGGGCTGCACCAGGTCCTTGCACCACAACAGTAATATTCCTCCCCCTCTCCTGGAAGCAGGATGTAGCCCAATCTGATTTGCTCCTCATGCTCTCAGGGCCATGCACAGAGCAGATGGATGAGCACGTTGCTGCTGGGTACTGTCAAAGTTAGTGCCACTACTATACACTTCATCCAGTTTTCCCTTATGGCCAGCACTAACCTTACCGGTGTGACTGGTGGCATCAAGGACACAAGTCCTCTAACCTGCATATTCAAATAGGGTCAGATGAAGGATATCCAAGGGAGCCAGATCCCCCTTGGCAGTAGAGGGAGCTGGGGGTGGCCTAGCCAGCATCTGAGACCTGCCCTGTGGCTGTCTGATGGGGGCTGATCTGAGCTCCTCCTGAGCAGGGCCCGACTGCTCAGTCTCAGCCTAGAACTAAAAGCGCTTAGTCTGCCACACACGTCATGCTGGCTTGCACATCAGAGCTTCACCTGCTCTCCTTTACACCAAGCAGTGTGTTCTGGGTGCCACACTTACCTCTCATTTGAAAACACTTCCTGCCTGTCTTCTCCTCTAAGTCACTAATTGACACAGCAGACAAGACTGGACTCACTAGCTGAGGATTAAGGAACTTGATGGCTGCACCTGGCTCTAGAGAGCTGCACTGCTGGCATCCCTTCGTGACCTGCTCCACACTTACTGTTTTGAGCCTGCCTACTTTGTTTTTAGCTACCCTTTTGGCGCCTGGCAGCTGTTTTTCTGAAAGACATACAGCCCAGAAAATCTTTTCCCCCTTTTTTTTTTTTTTCCTCCTAGAATAATGGCTGGCTGATCCAGGCACACAAGTAAATTGGTCTGCTGTGACTTTAGGTTCTAAAACCTCTCAAATAAAACTTTTTCTTTTTTTTTTTTTTTGCACTGCTTCCAAGGTCCAGGTTCAGCTAATTGTGACCCATAGTGCAGAGCACCTTTTCTCCATCATTTTCCTTAACCTAAGCTGAAGTCAGTACTGGCAGGATGGGCAGCCTGCGCTCCGGGGCTTGGCACAGCCCAGCTGGCCTCACGGGCGGCTCAGTAGTGCCTGGTCTCATTCCTAGCGTCACAGCATCCAAGAGTAATATCAACCCTCTGGCTGGATGCTTTTCACACAGGTTACCCAGCAAACACCAGCCCTGGCTCCCCAACCTGTGGCAACTGCTCAGCAAAACATCCGCTGGTCCTGCAAAGAAAACTAGGTAGTGGAAAAGCTTGCCTGGCAAAGGTGTGGAGTCTTCACCACTGAAGATGACAATACATAAATGCATAAAGTGTCAGAAGCACAACCTCAGGAATCACAGCTGTATGTTTGATGTGTATGTAGGGATGTTTGCTGTGGTTTCATTCCTGTTAGCTGCACGCCGCAGTCAGGCTCCTTCATTCTGGATGGAACAGCCAACTGATACTGTGGGCTCCGTGTAAGCTGCATCCCTTGATTTACAGCTCCCCGCGTATCTAGGCAGAGCAGCTCAATTTTGGAACATTCTGCCATCATTAAAACAGCTAAAGAACGGTAAAGCTCCTGCACTAGACAACTGTCAAAGCAGACTGCTCAAAAATCATCTGAGAAGCTCTGTGAATTGTWATTAATGGATTTTAATCATTCTTGGAAGAATGAGGAAGTGCCTGAGGTTTACGGAAAACAAACAAAAAATATAATCTCCTTTCCTTTGGGGAAAATAAAAAAGAAAAAAAGAAAACCACAGAACAAAACAACCTTAGCATTTCTGTAAGGTATTGTTCTAGGGCTGCACATGCCATCCAGTGCTACACAAAGGTCAATGGAGCACATATTAGGTGCTAGTTACTAATTGCTTAAAAAGGCTTTATTAGGACAAAGTAGAATCCCAGAGTCTGCAGCTATGTACTATCTTTATCAATAATGCTGATGAAAGTAAAAAGCAACTGCCAAGAAAATCTTCAAATTAAAAAAGCTGATGCCAAATGAAAGCAACAAAGCCATTAACTATATAGCAAAGTTTTATGAAACAATTCCTCAACCAAAAAAAAAAAAGTTATTGAGTTCTATGCTGCAATAATTCAGTGAAATATATACACATATTTTTAAACAGAAGAAAGGACAGACTAGTTCATCATATTGCTGTCTGGATATAAACTCTTTAAAATTGTGTTTATATGAAGAAAGTAGGCCCTCAAACAAATTTGATATGAATTTAAATTAGAATGATTAAGATAAAGGATTTCTAACGAGGTGTAAACACTGTAATGCAGCATCTGAATAGGAAAAGAAATAGTTACTAAGAGCACACAGACATTATCAGTCTATTCTACATAACTAGACCAATTGAACCTAGCTGCCTCTGGACTTAAACAAAATCCACCATCGGGCTATGTCTAAAAATAAGCTGGAAGAAATTTCTGATACAATAACACTATTTGAGTTACCACAATTGAGCAGTACGAGATTGAGCATTTGAGCAATTGAGCAGCAGKAGGAGCGTTGCCAGCAGGTCAAGGGAGATGATTCTGCCCCTCTACTSAGCTCTGGTGAGGCCGCACCTGGAGTACTGTGTGCAGTTCTGGGCTCCCCAGGACAAGAAGGACTTGGAGCTTCTCGAGAGGGTCCAGCGGAGAGCAACTAGGATGATTAAGGGAATGGAACATCTCTCGTATGAGGAGAGACTGAGTGAGCTGGGCATGTTTTCTCTGGAGAAGAGAAGGCTGAGAGGGGATATGATTAACATGTATAAGTTCAGGAAGGGAGAATGCAGGGAGGAAGGGGACAAGCTGTTTTCACTGGTGGCTACCGATAGGACGAGGGGTAATGGCCACAAGCTGGAGCATARGAAGTTCCATCTCCAGGTGAGGAGGAACTTCTTTACTGTGAGGGTGACAGAGCAGTGGAACAGGCTACCCAGGGAGGTTGTGGAGTCTCCTTGTCTGGAGGTCTTCCAAACCCGCCTGGATGCCACCCTGTGCCACATGCTCTAGGTGTGCCTGCTTGAGCGGAAAGGTTGGACTAGATGATCTCTAGAGGTCTCTTCCAACCTTGAACATTCTGTGAGATGCAGAGACTGAAATTAAAAATAATTCCAATGAGAAGGCACATATTTTTTAATATAATTAATCACTGGAACAACTATCTACTGTCTAGCTGTTTTCTCTTACTTTTTTTCCTCCATCAAATTTGATCTTTTTTAAGCATGTACTTGCTTGAACAGAAGAAGGTCAAATTTGCTAGGGTAGGATTTTTGACCTGGATTTGCAAAAAGCCAGGCCATACCTACTCACTAAACAGCTACCAAAAGCAGCAAACATTAGACTCCTGGGTGCTTGAAGGGCAAATATAACTGAGCATGCCAGGCTGTGGTTCAACTGCCTGTTGCTATAGATGTATTTACAGCACAGTGTACACATAATGCTCTCTATACCCCAGTATGCACACCTTCCTTCGGGTGTTGCTAGTTTTTCCCAAACTCTAAGAGCAGTATTTTGGGGCACCACTGCAACAGCTTTAGTCCATTGACAGCAAGTAGGAGCAGGAACTTCTGAGCAGGCCACGCTGCTGAGAAGTGGTGGACTGTGCTGGTGCAGGCCTGGCCTTGCACTGCCAAATCTCCTCTGTGTATAGCAGCACCACCAATTCACCAGTTGGTCACTSCAGCAAAAGACCCACCACAACACTGATGGAGGTGAGTAGAGAGGGATGATGGATGGACCGTTAGATACTGATTTTTGTTCTGCGTCACATTAAATGTGAGACTACGTTGTTGTTTTGAAAAATCCAGACAGTAATGATAAAGGCCTAGAAAACAATGCTGATTTATTACTCATAAGCAACAGTAAACAGAAGTCTTGACTGAAATCCACAAAGAAAAACCTTCTTTAATAGCGGGGTTTATGTTGTTGCCCATCTGTGGGGCAAGAAGGTAGTAAACATGCATGGTCAAAGTACAACTGTGTGAAGAGGAACAGGGTGAGAGAACTGAGCAGCACCAGCAAGCATGTGCACGCTGGCGTGTGCTGCGCAAGCACAGCTGGAGCCAGGAACACCACATACCAAATGAACAAGAAGCCACCTTCTCACACTGGTGATGCTTTATTTTGTCTCATTCTGATCTTGCCCCTCTTGCTCCAAGCCTTATAGGACCTACATGGAATCCAGATACATGTACTGCTAGCGTAGCACTGCAACCATAGTGACAACCAGAACCAACAGGCAGCAAAACTACTGCCTTTCAATGACAATGAAGCACCATACGCTGCCTGTTATACAGATGTTAAACCATACAACACAGACAGTGGTCGGCTGCAGTCTGCTTTGCCTTTTCTTGTACAGAAGCAGCAGCTCTGGAGAACACTTTGGCTGTACAGCACTTCAACTGTCAAGGCCAATGTGATTATGCTGGTAAAAACATACACATATAAATCCATCTGTTCACCAGGCAACCACCCAGGCTTCCCTGTGAATCTTAACACTTGCAGTTTTCCTAGATAGGGTTTCTCAGGTGAGTCTGAAACAGCAAACCATCTTCAGAAGACCAATACAGGTGATTGCATTACGTTAGTTCCTGGGGATCTCTGAAAGGCCAGTGAATCTCTAACAAAAGGCTGGATAGTCCTTATTCCCCATGGGACTGGAAGATCCTCTACATTTATTCAATGTCCAGTGCTCCTGAAGGAATATGCCAGGGGAACATCAGGTTTCTGACCAGAGTGATAACGATATCCCATCACTTGGAAGCAGAGAGAGATCATGTCCTACTAGCTGCTGCTGAGCCTGGGCACCTGAGCATGAAGCACAGGCCGTGCTTGTGCAACACTCTACAGCATGTGCCAAGAAGGTATATGCTCCTCCATGGCATATACGGCAGCCTTGCCAACAGACAGGACTGAGCTATAGGGCAAGCTAAAGCCTTTGCATTCTGCACACTGCTGCTCAGTTAGTGAGCATATTGTGCAAGAAAGAGGATTCCTCTCTCAAAGAGACCTAAACACAGTGCAGTGTTAGTCAGCCTCTTAGAACTGTCATGACAGAGAACTCTGCGTGCACCCATCAGAGGAAGATGACAAAACAGAGACAGATGCTACGCTGGAATCACTAAACAAGAAACTAATGTGACCCGAACTGAGACTGCAACTAGGGCATGAGCTACGCTGCCTATGTACACTGCTAAYGCCACTGTCCAAGGGAACTAAACCAGAAGAAACAGTCTCTGTACCACAGCTTTGGTTCACAGTCTCTCATAACTGACCAGATGCAACAGTTACAAAATCAAGGTCACGGAAGTTAGAAGTGGAAGCACAATCCCAAAGACATTCAGTTGCTTTTGTTAGCACTGTGGGTCATGAGCCTAACAGAAGTGGGGCTTGTAACTGAAAATTTTGGGCGTTACTCCTCCTTTTCCTCCAGGGGCTTACTTCCGGCCTCGTTTACGGCAGGTTTTGGGAAACTCTGCTCTCTGTACAACTTGGGGCTCTTCCTCTTCACTACTCTCACGCTCATGCACCACTCGCTTTGGGCGACCCCTCTTTCTTCTCCTCATTCTTTCAACTCCAACACTGGGGGGTTTCTTGCCAGACAAGGATCCTGTTTTCTTCTTTCTGCCCCGAGTCAAAGGACGTTTCTTCCGTTGTTTCCTCTGGTCCTCTTCTCTTTGGCGGATTTTCATTAGCTTCTCAAAGCTTTTGGTAGTAGTTGTATTCATATCAAACCAGTCCTGAAGGGTTTAGAAGGCAACAGGTTGGTATTGACAGTGGAAATACAATACCAAGTCCATACATACTCATATTAGAGCTGCTCATGGGACAAGAGTTTATTGAAATATTAGATCTGGAAAAGCAACTAAGAAAGCTATTTTCTTTGGAGTCACATATGAGGTGTCTCTGCCCCAGAGGAATCAGATTTGGTTTAGTAATTGACTAATGGCATGGGAAACGCTGAAGAGTTGAAGAGTAGCAGTTTGGAAACAGACACGTTACATGATACAGCATTTGTTCCCCAAACAAATGCACAAGAACAGTTGTATTTAAGCAGATCAAAGGCCAGTCTAGCCCAGGACTCCCTTTCAACCCGGAGCAAGGAAAAATGCAACAAAGTAAGCATCCAACATTTTCTTCCCAAAACACCCTCCCATCTCCACAGTCTGGGATTCAGGGACTTCCATTATGCCTGCCTTACCTCTGCATGCACAGAGTTGATGTGATACTTGACCCCACTCTCTGAAATAAATTCCTTTTCACAAAGGAGACACTTGTATTTACCAGCCACAAAGTCTCCCTGGCACAAGAACAAAACAAAACAAGAAAAAAAATCAACTATTACTGCCTAGAAGGCCGACGCACCTATATATATTATCTTAAACAGCTTTGAATCTTTGAATCTTTAACAGCTATAATCCATCTTTGAAAGTAGAATGTCTTATTCATTACAGACTGAACATTGCAGGACAACAGCATTGACATTACCAACAAATTATGCCCACAAAGGACAGGATTACCCTGCAAGATGTTGCAAGGTCTAAGGCAAGGTCTAAGTGGAAAAAGCACTGTTGTAGCTGTTAATCTATAGGTAGGACTGCAACTTCAGTCAAATGGCTGACATGAAGAAGTTCATTGCTTGCCTCAAACTGCTTGCAACAGCAGACCCATTAGCACACAGGGAGGCATGCAAATTGGGAAAAAAAAATATCGGGCTAGGAGGTGGCAGGACAATACCTGAAAAAGGAGATACCTAAGGGACAGGGCAGCCAGGATATAGATATAAAAGAGTGAGTACAAAGATGCTACCAACCAAGGTACACGTGCCAAGATGAGATTTGAGTCCTGAGACGCTCCCGTATACAGATTCACAACCCTGAAACAGGAGAGAAAKGTGTGCATCAGCAAACTCTGTTAAGAAAATTGTTCCTGTACATGAATCTCTTGTTCTCTGGGATGCTCTTTTCACAGGCATAAAGGGGTAGAGGAAATGAGATACCAAAACCCACAAAACCAAAAGGCTTGTAGTAAAGAACTTTATAAAGCAGTTAAGATTTTAATAAATTATATATTTTCAGTTTCTGGGCACATGTGTAGACATAAAAAAGAGATTCCTGCCACACAGACACATCCTTTCTCTATTAAAAGCCTGAGTAATATGATAGTTTGCATTTTGCCTAAAGGGCAGCAAACATTAATTCAGAACAAAGCAYAGTGGGAACTACAAGACACTATAACCTCTCTTGCCCCGCTTCTCCCTCTAGTGGCACTGAGTGAAGTACATCATCTGAAATCCACAGTCCCCTTTACATTCTGCAAAGAAGGGCAGCTCTAAGGACCTTCCCCATGAGGAGCTTTAAGTATGAGTCTTAGGATATTAGATCACATGCCTGGAAATAACACAACCCTGAAAGCTAGTGACAAAGTGCAAGAGGGAAGAGAACAAATAAACAAAAAAAAAAAAAAAACCACTCTTATCTCTGCACCAAGCCCAGACAAAAGCCACTACTGACCCTTAGGTCTCCAGCAGCATAAGCCAGTCTAATGGCAAAGAATGAAGGAGGTGGATGCCTGCATTCTTGCAGGGAGGTACCAGTCGTTTCCACCAAAGGGGTCAGTTCTTCTCAATGAATCTGACTTGCTATATTCAGATGTAAGCAATCTTACATAAGATTGTAAGACCCACATGCTCTAGGTGACCCTATGTGTGCAGGGGGGTTGGACTAGATGACCTCTGAGGTCCCTACTGTAAGGCGTATAAGGGGTTAACAGGGTAGCGTGCTTTCTGCTTCTGTAAATAAAGCTTGCACGCTGAAGATGTATAAGATATAGACTATGTAATTTACATTTAACTTTGCCATCCGCTTCTGTAAATCTCGCTTGCTATAAGGGAGGATAAGGACTAACGGGATACATACCCTGCTCTTGTTGCTTTTGCCGTGACCCCGAGATAAGATTCCAAACATCCCAAATGGTAAGGGGATTTTGAAAAGGGGGGTTAGTCAATGGTGGTCGTAAATAACGTTTAACAAAGAAGTTGTAGTCGTCTATAAAAACACGAACCTCTCCTCAAACGGTGCGGATCTCAGGACAATCTGTAAGAGGTCTGCCGCCGGCCAGCTAATAAAGCTTGCTTTTAAATCACCAGGTTGAGTGTGCGGGTGATTACTGGGATTATGGACTAACACTACCAACCTTAAGCATCCTGTGATTTGAAGACACTAGATATGAGCACCCCTACATCAGGATGACACAGTGTCAAGCGTGAATCTGTTTGGGGGGCCATTTTCAGCCTCCAAAATAAGACTTGAGTGCTGTGGCAGATAAAACAGTCCTTTGGACCTCAGATTTTCCTCTCTTCCTCCCTTCTTCTACAATTAACTTGCTTCACCTGCTAACTCTACTGCAGCAGGGGCTTGTCATTTTTTTTTTCCCCACTGTTAAGCCAAATCATCACTCACACCAGCTCCTGGCTGGATGGGAAGCTCTATCAATCTAACACTAAACTGCTAGCTCTTAAGTGGGCAGATACTCCCCAGAGGGAGACAGCAATCCAAAAAGAGTCTTCGTTATACTAACTATGCTGAGATGGTGCAGAATTTATCTCCTGCAGACAGAGCGCCAAACTGCAGTTTGAAGGCTGTGGAAAGCTGCTGGCTCATGCAGGCCTGCAATCTGTTCCTTTTGAGGCTTTGGAAAGGCTTAAGGGTTACCTGGTTTGGGCAATGAACTCTTCTGTACATCTTTATCTCTGTTTTCCATTTGCACAGCACATCTTGACTAAAGGTAGGCAGTCCAGGACGAGTGTATTTCAGCTAAGACAAAGAGATGAAATCAAAAGGTAGAAAAAAATGATAGCCACTCAGTGTCAAGTACATATCTCCTTCTCTCTCAAGCTGTGAAACAGAAGTGCTATTTCTCCTTCTATTCTAACAGCCAAACTCCCCATAAATAACCTTCTCCTGTCTCACTGACTGTCTACAAACACAACTGATTCTAGAAATTCCCTACAATCATGGAATCCAAAATGTACCACAACTTAGACTACAATTCCTCCAAAAGAATGCATCTCTAAGTCATAAATCATCCCTTCCCTCTAGMTTTCCTTTACTGCCTAGGCAATGCTCCTGGATGCTCTGAAATTTGAAAAACTAGGAAAAACTACTGCTCTGGGCCAAGGATCTCAGTCTATGACTTTTGAGCAATATATGGCCTCTACCTACCATCACTGCTTATGCCCACAAGTACTACAACAGTACTTTAAAGTCTTTAAAGTCTTTCGTAGCCCATCTTGCTAACACTGATAACTACGGCAATTAACACTTTTAGGCTAAGGTGACAGAGAAACATCTGATGTGCTCCACAAGACATTGCTCCATATTCCTTTCTGTGGGTCATTACACCCTGGTAAAACTGGGTAGATGCCAGTAAAATACTCTTCTGCTGTGCAGAAGACTCAGTCTTTACATAGGATTCTAAGGCATTGCACCTTTCGATCATCTGGAATCAAGTCCTGCAGCACTTTCCTCTTGGGCCATTCTTTGGCCAGCTCTTCTCCAGCTAACTCATGGAGATAGTAAATGGCCACTTTTGCAGATCTCCTCTGAACTCTGCCTGTGTTGTTTGTCTCCCGTTTATTTTCCTTTGAGCTCTCTGTTCTTCTCTCTTCACGGAAGAAAGCAACCTGTGAAGAAAAGCAAAAAAAAAGGTAAGCCTCCCTCACTAGTTTCTACTTGAGCTACTCCTGCTCGAGCTACTGTGAATACCCATTCAGATGCCTGCCAGAAATACTGCCCTAGCTGTGGTTGACTGTCACAGACATGAGACAGAAGTGTATCCTACCAAAATCTGTTCAGATACACAGCCGTAAGAAGAGAGCTTCATATGGCCATTGGCCTTAAAAGCATACCACATCCATCTCTGTAAAATCCTCAGAGAAATTAAATATGGTATTTCCTGTTCTGCTGCAGAGTTGAGTCTTTTAAGCGCAAAGAAAAGTTTAATAGGAAGCTCTCAAATCAAACATGGTAACATAATTTTTCCACAGAGCAGAAGTCAGACTAGAGAAAGGTTTATTGCTATGACAGTGATTTACTGTTACGAACTTCATCCTTATCACAGAATAGGCACAGCTGTTCTATTCCAGTCAAAAGGAAAGTACTCTGGAGAAGCAGAAAACGTAGAGATTTGCTACCTCTTAATAGCCATTAGAGGACAGACGTGTACATGGGTCTCAAGCCAGAATGGTCTCAAGTATATGAGGCAGTAATCAGCTATCACACCATCCTGGTAACTACAGCAACTTGCACTTACCGGCCCATGCTTAGATCGAAGATGGTAGACAAGTCCTGCCTTTGATTTGTATGCTTTTCCACAGTGATGGCATTTCATAGCCATTTTTTCCAGCTCAGATGCAGCTTTCCCACACTTTTTAACATGATATAGGTATCCCATTATGCTGGTGAAGCTACCTGTGCAACCCTGTCAATGCAGAATAAAAATTCATGGAGCAAATTCTCTCCAAGTGATTAACCACTGTGCATGGAATCAACAATTTGCTAACCAAAGCACTACTATTTTTCTGTCAGACAAGAGACAACTAGATGACAGACTTTTAAGTTTGTCTATTCAACTAGAAGAAAAAAAAAAAAAAAAAAGGAATGATTTGGCCGAATTTGGAAGAAATTATTTCCTACGATTTCTTCTTACACTCAGTTGGCTGGTTGAATTGTCCTCAATCTCAGCAATAATAGAGAAATTGTTAAATAAAACTTTGAGATATCCCCAGGATATGATCCATGTCTCAGTCCACAGAGCAGGACAACAAAACCTCCAATGGTTTCCTGTGTAGATTTGGTAGAAAATTTCCTAGCACAGAAACCAGCAATGAATTTAGGCCTGGGCTTTGGAACAGGACAATTCAAGCATATATTAGCAAGTTTATATATATAATATATAAATATATATATATATAATATACAATATATAATACATAATAGTACATATATAATATATATTTTTATATATTTATATATTTTATATATATGTGTGTATATATATGTGTATATATATTTATTTATAAAAATATTTATATTCTTAAAAATCTACATTCTTATCTAAATTCTTAAATAAAAATATCTATCTTCTTAAATGTACTCATATATTCTGAGCTCCTTCCCTTTCTTTAGCTGTGGCCAATCTTAGTACTTTTTCAGGAACCGAAGGCAAGCTCTTGGAGTTCATCATGTATAAAAACAACTGGTCACCATAAACAACTAAGAAACATTCAGAAGTTCACATTAGTAAAATACATTTGATGAACACAAACCAATCTAGTCTCTTCCCCATCCACCTTGAAGATACCAATGTATCAAATACTTAAGGATATTTTACCACAAACTGATTTTCTAACTTCTGGTTAATTAGACAGTATTCTTCACCTATGAATGCCACTGCACCTTAAAACAATGGAGACTGCCTGGAACAGCTATACTGGAGCAGCTATACTGCTGCCATATCTTATTTGGAAGACTATTTCAGAATTTCATTCCTCAGGGTGGTTGAACTATTTCTTTAACAACCTTAATATATTTATTAATAGTTTATAATATTGTCACACAGTAAAATGGATTATTCCTTACTTCTTTTCTGTCATCTTCCATGTAYTGAATGTATTTATAAATGTAGATTGAGCAAGGATATAACTTAATGTATCTGGTCTAAACAAGCTTTTAAAAATTGTAATCAAAAAGTAAAACTGTTTTAATTACCCTATAACCCTCCCTTTCAGGGTCAGGAGGAGGGTGTGACAGACTCAGAGACCAATCTTCTTCCTACTACAGGCAGGAGAATGTCACTCATCAAGTTACGTGTGAAGTCCTAAATCTTCAAGCTAGTGTTCACCAGACTCCCACTTTGCTTAGTGAAGAGGTTGTTAGTCACTTCAGTAATTCATTTTCTATGCTCAGTGCTTCACACTTGCTTGGAGGAAATTCTCCTGGCCTCTTTCTGCATTCCTGGTAACACAGCATCCCTCTGAATTCCCAAGGGCCTACTTTGTTGATAGTTATGGTCTTGAAACAAATCCAGCTTTTGTCAGATCCAAAAGCATAGCCACAGGAAGTCTTACAGTACTTTATACTCATGAGGTGCTTACCTCCCTTGTACATTTTAGTTTTCCCATAAGCTTCAAAACCTTCCGAAGGCGGTCTCGTTCACGCTGCTCATCTACTTCTCCTCCTTCCTTCACAAGTGGCTAAAGCAAGGCAAAGAGAAGAAATAGAAACAAAGGAGATTTAGCTGTTTTTCTCATAATGAGTTCACTATTCAGCACACTACCAAAAAAAAAAAAACMAAAAAMAAAAAAATCCCTAATTAAATCTATTAACTGAGGACTACAGAAATATATGTAATACAATGATCTCTGGCAATGTACCAGAATAACTGGTAGCTTTTAGAGTACTCAAAACCGCTCTACAAATGGCAGCTTGAACATTCATATAACTATCTCCAAACAAAGTCTTGGAAGAAAGAGTCTCAATCTATAGTTCCTGGGTACATGTTTATTTAACAACTTTTCCTTACCAGTGCTTTCGGGATGTGTTGACTCATTTTTGTCACACAGCTTTTAACATTTACTGGTCCCAGCATTTTTACTTAGCCTAACTAGAGCTAAGAAGCTAAGCTGGACTGCTGCCACAGAGAATTATTCATGTACGCCAAACTACAGTGCAAGATCTTCTCTAATAGATATTGAATATTATTTCCTATATTATTCTAAATATCACACCTAAACTAACTAAGGAAATGTAAACTAAAGACCTACTCCTCAGGAACAGAGGAACCACAATACCAGGTATTATGTAAAATAATGAAAATAACAGTAATGATTAGGCAAGGTTACCCTTACCTATAAATGACCTTTCCGAAAGTTCTAGTTCTTCATAACTAGAATGTGAGCACAGTCTTCTCCAAAGTAACAGCGAAATATAAAGAACTAAAAACTGGTCTGCCCTGGGTGTAGCAAAACTCCACTTTCTGGCAAATAACTGAGAAGTGCACTCTAATATATTTTTTATGCTCTTTTGTGTGACATATTACCAGCCTAAAATAAATTCATGCCCTTTTAAATGTAGCATGTCTACCATCTTGAATAATGGTTACCACTTTTCCCAGTGTCCACTTTTGCACAGAAAATAACAGCCAAGACTCAAACAGCTACAACATTTGAAAAAGCACCACACTCAGTGCCTGTGTGGATCAGCAAAAGAATAAGAGTCTGTCTTGCCTCTAAGACTTCTGGATGTACAGAAGTTGTCTTACCTGATTGTTATGGTCTGCCATGACATGGTATTTCATCCCTCCCAAAGACTTCAGCTGCTTCCCACATTGATGACAAGTGAACATTTCCTAAATAAAAACAGGGACATGGGGTGCATGACTATAAACCAACCAAAGCACCGAGAGACTCTCTGGGTGAACATAATAGGAGAGGAGAACATCTTACGTGGGCCTGATAACTGCCTGTTAATAACAGAACAGAGTATAAGGAGCTAGAACTTTAGAGGAAAAAGAAAATGTCTAGTTCATTATCCAAAGCCTGAAGCAAGAAACTCCAATTGCAGCCTCTTAAATAGGTGTAAAAGGCTGTTGTTTGGAGAGACGATGAGGATAAAATTGTTTTTTTAACTGCACTGTGAAACAAAATGCAGGCCCTTCTATTGCTAAAAAAAAAAAATAAAGAAAAAAGTGCTTATCTTTTTTTAATCTCACCTGCCTGCAATTTGCCATATGTTTCTTCAGTCCTTCTACAGTCTTTCTCACCACAGCCCTGCATGTTGGACAGGTAGCTCGGCCTTTGTCCTGGATTTCCAAAGACCACTGTTCTTCCATGCTACCTGTCAAAAAAAAAAAAAAAAAAAGGCTTGGAACAGAGCTGCAAACACAAAACCTTATTTTCCTTCTTCAATATGCCCAATGAATTCTAAAAGAAAACTGGTCTTGTACTACTAACCCCCTGTCCAAAAATTTTATTTTGTTTGCAGTTTACACATCACGACAAGCCTCAAATCACTCTTTTGTRGAAACTATTTAATTAAAGCTTCTTGTTACTATCATCCCCTTGCAAGGAAAGCTCTACCATACATTCAGCAGAGATTCCTCCTTTGTTCATTTTCATTACACAATGACTCTAGCATGCACAATAAACTTTTCTTTTGGCAAAGAGGCTTTTTGTGAGAGTCACAAATGTGATCAGTTTCAAGACAAAGTGCACAATTCACTTCCACTAACCAAATCTTTAAAATTTGAAACAGAGGTTTTGGCACTGCAGATGAACAGAACCGTACCTTCAGGCCAGGTCACTCAAGAGATAGGGAGAAGTAACTTGCCAGGCAGGATTTCCATTTCCTGGCCCCTTTTTGTTTTGGTCACAAAGACTATAAATTCTCAAAAGCGAGTTTTCAGGAAGAAATGGCTTTATAGCCAGTTGCTTGAATTCTTATCATAAAAATATCTAAAAGCTTTTCTCCTTGCTAGATATAAACAGGCAAGAGTTGTCCCTCCTCAGATGGCTGAGATAAAGTCAACAAATTGAACAACACTTGGGAGAATGCTTGGGTAGTGGTGACTGCTGTGAATTATGCATATCAAGTCATGCCACTTGCAGATTCTAGGCTAGTAATACATTTTCCAGGAGTGACTGGCCCCAGGTTATCAGAAGAGCTGTTCTGGCAGCAGTGTCTACATAGTTCTTTTTAGAAACATATTCCATGTTCTGCTGAGTAAAGAAGTATAAATACATTTTTAAGAGCTTTAGATTGAAAATGTTTTAATAGGCTTTTGTTCTATTCAAATGTGGTCCTCCCCCAGCCCGATTACTGCAGTGATTTTAAGGCAAAACCATGTGGAACTAACCCATTAGGTAGCAATATTGTTCTGCAATACTGACAGAGTGCCCAAAGGACAGTACGCATTTCTTCTCTGTTAACAGTAAGGTGAGCAACAAAAATGGAAACAGGGAGATGCAGTCATCAATTAAACTCAACTCTAAGAATTGCATTTATATCTTATCTGCTTTATAAATAATTCTGAACAACTGCTCCATCTTACCTGTGCTATAAGTTTGTGGTTCTTTCCGAACAGAGTGAACTTTTGTTTTGGACTTTTGTTGTGCTCCTGCTTGCTGTTTTTTTCCTGCTATAACACAAACAATAGACACCATGACAGTTAATTTTGTGAGTCTTTTACAAAAGTGAAGCTCTTGCCTAGGAGGTTCCTAATCAGTCCATTTCAAGGAGGGGCATCAGCAAGGAGCCACTTTCTTAGAATTGTTTAATGTTTCTTTTTAGTAATTTAAAAAATACATTCTCCTATCTCTTTCAAAACTGATAACTATATTTAATGAATAAAAGGTTACAGTCAGAATTAATTTGCCAACCACTGGGCATTATTAAAATATGTCTCATCCATAAATTTATAGTTTCCAGCAAATTCTAATCTGCAGATTATTTCCAAACTGACAGACCCAATACACTGGATGGGAGGCAATTTTAGGATCTATGAGATATCTTTTTTCCCCCCCCCCATAAAAATCCACCCAGATTTGCCCAAAGTGTAAGACATGGAAAGTATTAAAAGAACATAAAATTAAGGTCTAATAATTACAAAAGACCACATTAAAATACTAAATTTTTAGGTTTAATTCTATGAGAATTTTAACTTCTTATTCCAAGATATTATTCCACTTCCTTTAATGAAGCTGCACAAGGCATGGCATCAGCATACCACAAGTGACACTTGCCAAACACATTTTGCCTTGATGCAACTGAAGGTTGGCTTTATTACAGGCTAGGAGTTAGGATGCTGAGAATTCTTGTTCTACTTTTCCCAGTTATTCACAAGAACAGTTTCCTAAATAAGACCCTGCTACAGCATCTCCCAAAGACTTATTTTTAGAGAAAAATCTACTCAGCCAACAGCAGTGATTAGTCCCATTCAGGTGTTTGTAATCAGTGTGGTAAACAACACTGTGAGGATGGGAATTCTTTGCACTAAAATAAACACATCATTCACTGTATAGCTGAGCTAAAGGCCAATTGACAATAAAATGGACAGTCTCATTCCCCTACTCTTTTTTTTTTTTTTTTTTTTTTTAAGACCGAACAACTTTAACTCTTTCAGTCTTTTCTCAGGAGTTATGCTTTTTGCTCTCCTCTGCATTCTCTTTAGTTGGCCTAGATATTTCCTGAACTGTACCATCCAGTGCTGAAAACCACTCCAAGCAAGGCCCTACAGTAGAGTAGAATTACTTCACTACTTTTAGTAGACTGTAGTCTACTTTTCCGTATCTCAATAAAACATCTATCTTTTTCAAAAAATATGTCTGCCTCTGTTCCACTTATCATCCTAAGGCCCTAATCCTTTCCAGAAGAACTGGTACCTTGCAAGCTCAAATATTTCTTCCTGATTACAGCATCTTTCATTTTCCACTTTGTGTTTCATCCTGTCTTTTAGACTGTTTATATAATGTGAAGACTGGTTGCGTGTGAATTGGTCTTAAGAAACCTCCATTACTGTTCTCATCTCCTCATTAGCCTCCAGAGGGTTACAAGTAATTTGTGTGATTATTCTTTCCAATATTTAGGGTGAAACTGAAATGAAGCTGTCTAGCCTACATTTCCACTATACTCCCTTTTTTCTTCTTCTGTTGAAAAATAGGATTGTACTTCAAAAGAGATTAAAATTAGAATAATCACCTGCCACCACAAAACAGAAAACAGGCAAGAGTTCCATACAGTAAGAATCACAAAATCAAAAATAGAGCTCGAGGAACAGCGGAGGACAGCATTTGTGCAGATAGGGAGTCAAAAGTACCCAGATGCTTTTAACTAGTAATTACATGTTATCTGTATTACCAGAAATCTTTTGTTTCTTCTTGGGGGAGTCTTTAAGATCTTCATCCTCCCCTTCCTCAGATTTCCTCTTGCCTTTCAACACTACTTCTCCTGTTAACAAATAAGAATGGAAATACTTAGTCTGGACAACAGCTTTGTGTCTGTCTGCTGTCTCATTTTCTCTTCATATTCAAAAATTCTTAAGAAAATAAAATAGTTTAAGTTGCTTTCTGTGTATTATATAGACACCAGTGAGATAGACACAACCTTCTGAGTCAGTAACTCTGAGCCATTCCATATTCTTTAGAGGAAAAAGTCCATAGTTCGCAATCTCCTGACATAGAAGAAACAGCATCTACTATAGCATGGCTTTGGAAAACAGTAATACCCAGGAAGTGAGCAAGGAGGGAACACAGAACCAGAAGACGAAGAAAGAGCAATAGGAAAGATGGAGGTTTTAGCTCTCACCCACATGAAAAGCTTGGAAAATAGCTTCTCATTTGGAAAATTTGAATGTCCCTGCTTTACTACAGCAATGTAAGAGTCACCCTACAGCACCCAAACCACCCTAAATTGGAAAGTGGTGACAAAAGACAACAACAACAATTGATCTGACGAGTGCAATCCAGAATACTGCCACAGGTCGACTTTTGTACATTTTTAGTGTTGCCTTGTTTATTCCTAAAGCTGTCTAAGCATTTCTCTGAAATGCTAGGTAAAATCCTTAGACATAATTTTCCTATAAAGCTGAGTTCAGTCAGCAAATCATTAATTTTAACAGCGAACTCATAACACTATGCAGGTTATACAGACCTGCTCTCATCAGGCAGCAAATTTTACCTAAGTTTCTGCAATGGAAGAAGTGTCTCTCTCTTAACATGCAAACTGTTACCAAGTTTGGAATTTGCAGTTGAACTTTAGCAAGTCTTTTGAAAGTCATCCAATCTTTCATAAAAGAATCACCTAGAGAAAAACAGTTTTACATGAAGCCAAGAGTGATGAGTACCTTTTTTTCCTGGAGTTTTGTTAATGCTCTTTTTTACTCCTCTCATTTCCAAACTATAAGAAGGCCTACAAATTATCCGCTTGCTTCTTGACTCTGCACTCCTGTTCACTCTACTCTTGGATGAGGCAGAAGAAACGTTGCTGACTGTCTCATCATAGTTACTGTTCAGTCCTAGGACAGTAGTTTCCAGCTCCTCAAATTGCTTAGATCTGGAAAACATCAACTTGAAATCATATATATGTGTATGCATGTATGCACACAGACAAAACCAGGACAACTTCACAGACATCCCTCTCATCTTTCCAAGCACTCCTAAAAATTAATTTCACAGTTCACTGAATTTCTTGAGGTTTGTCAACTGAGATATACCAGCAAGGCAAAACATCCTGAACATTATTTTTCAAAACATCTTTTAGTGATTGGCATTGGAAAGCTCCTCAAAAGCAGGAAAAAAAAAAAAAAAAAAAAAGCAGCTACCTTTGCCCTTCTGTCTGGGCCCCTCAGCCCCAACTTAAAAGGTCAAATACAACTTTCCAATATGAATCTCTCAGCTTTTTCCTTGCCCTCAGTCAAATTTGACAAGAAACATTCACATACTTTTTCTTTCCCAGAGCTSTCTTGACCTTCTGTCGTCTGTGATGCTCGGGCCTGGTATCCTAACAAAGCAGAACAATCCACGTTAGCAGCATAGTTTTTTCTTTTCCTTCTTCTTGCATGTTTCATTTTTCAGTTCAACACAATAAACTGCACTTTGAAGATCTGTGTGTTATTGCTTTGAAAGGGAAACCACTGTCTTCTCAGACAAGGAATTATTTTATCCCTTTCAACTTTACTTGAATTAGAACAGGAATGAAAACAAAGAGAAGGTCCTCCCTAATCCCCTCCTCATATGAAATTCAATCTCTCCCCTTGCACTGAAGCATGATGTCTCCAACTTACTCAGTGGTACCTGTTTTCTGCCTAGACTTTACCACATGATGAACGTATTTGAAACTCTGACCTACTAGTTTTTCCATAGTACTTGTTTTTACCTAATGAAATCTGTCTTGCTTTATCCATGTCAAGAATGTTGCCTCTAGCCTCTTTTAAATTTTCTTTTCATGTTTTATCTCAATTACCTTGCCATACTCCATCAGTCGCCTATTTATCCATGTCTTAAAAAATTTCTTCTTTATTTAACAAAGGATTTTTGTCATTTCTTACTACTTCTTATGTTCTTATTAAAACACACAATGTAACAGATACAATTGACGAACCTAAATCAATATAAAGGATTTGTTGTACAATCTTCCTAGCAGTTGGAGAATCATTTACAATCATACGCCAAATATTAAGTGATTCAATCTCATGCTTAACAGTGAAACTTGGACGCAGATTTTGTTTATAACAACCACTTCTGCCTTCTGTCTTATCTATATGAATATACAGGAAGAATCTATAAAGATATGGTTATCACTATGAGCAGTTCTAATAAATCCCTGCTTATATTATTGTGGCCAAAGGAAAAAAAAAAAAAGGCAAAAAAAACCCCACGCCTAAAGGTCAGTAAAGTTAGTTCTACTCTGTGCGCAGGCATTCGGCATACAGGCGCACACACAGCAGCGCACAAGTAGCGTGTTGCTGCAAGCAAGCAGGTTGCTCTCCCCAGGAKCACAACAGCGAGAGGCTCCCAGCCAGGGAAGCACCAGCAGAGGTTCAGAGAGGAGCACTGCAACTACTGGACTTTTGGAACCGCAATCGGGGGCYGCCGGGCCCTGCTGTGGCCTCCACACCGGGCCTCGGCCCAGGAGAGCCCAGGGAAGCAGCGGAGAGGAGTTAACAACCGCTTCACCAACACTTCCACATGCCTTCCCCAGCTTTGTGGGGAGAAAAGTCCATTTGCACTTCTTTGGCCTGACTGGCACACAGAGCAGTGCCAACAGCAGTGTCTACAAAGTTTCAAGATTTTGTTAGCATTGGACGATTTTGCATAAAACTGTTGAGCTAGGATGAAGAATTTAAGGAATGAATAAGAAGGGGCAACAAAAAAGGTGAGAGTGAAGTAATGTGTTTTGCCTTGTTTTGGGGAATCCGATTGCAGCTGGKAAGAAGGGAACACCTGGAGAGGTCAACGTTCAAAGCCTGTAGGTTTGATTTGCACAGTGTGTTCCCCCCGAGAAATCACCTAAGTTGTTAGACCCGCTGGGGCAAAACCCACGCGGGAAAACGAGCGGCTGCCCTGGGCGCGCCGGGCAGGCGGCCTCGCGCGAGCCCCGGTCCACAAAGGAGGTGTCTGGGCGCGCGGCGGGGCCAGGGGCGAGCGGGGGCAGGCAGAGGCGCCGGGCGGACACGGAGCGCTGCCCGCAGCGCTGCCCCGGCCACCCGGCAGAGCCGGGCCCGAGCGCGGCGGCTCCCGCCTTCACAAAGGGGACCCCCTCGGGGACGCGGCC